TTTATTATTATAATTGTTGAAGTACCATAACACTCACTTTTTTTTATTCTCGTAAGTGTAACTGCTCTTAAGCTATAAGCTCAGTTTTTACAATATGTGGGGTCAAATAATATGATACCATTTCAGGATAAAATTAAAGTTCAAAGAGGAGAAGTAATTTGCCTAAAATCATGGAATTATGTCATCTAATGTCAAATAATATGTCTTTTCTATTAATGCCTCAGTGCTTTCACTTTTTGTATAATCATTTAATTTTTCTAGTTTTCCCATTGGCCTTAATTCCCCAACATTCTCTGTACAGCGACTATGCAGAAAGAACTGTGTTTTATGGTGGTGACACAGATAAACATGACACAGTTCCTGACCTGAAGGATAATTGCTAAGTCCCCTAAGTCCCTTTCAGGAGAGACCACAAATTATAATTTTGTATTGTCTTTTTTACCAAAGTTAAAAATTGTCTAATTGCTTAAATATTCCCAGAGTGAATGAAGGTATTAAAGAGAGAGACAGTAATTTTCAGGTGATCCATTTTTATTAACTTTCATACTTCTGCAGACCATTTTTTGTGCTACCACACTTGGTTTGAGGAAGAAATGCAGTGGTAATTACAGTGTTTTAATTGGGGGAGAAGGGTGGTCTTCTTGAGGGACTAGAGTATGACTTAATTTGTCCTCCATCTGGCAAAATCATATCCAATCTGAAACTCTAGATTGACTGGCATCTTTTCTGTAAGGACTCTCCTTTTTCCAAAGATAGAATGAATGGAATGAATCATTCATTTTTCAGGGTTTCCATATCTTGTTTCTAAGGCTGTTCTACAGCATGTATTACATTATAGTCAAGTGTGCTATTGTTAGATGTGTAACTAAATGTATGTCTGCTACGGTACAGACTCCACATAAGGAGAGGACCATTCTTTACCTTCCTAACCTCAACAGCCCTCAGGGTGCTTGACACATACTACATGCTTAGTACAGTTGGCCAAATTAATATTAAAAAGCAGTCTTAAGACAACTAATGACTAGACAGCAAATTTTTTAGTTTTTATTTTTTTGAGACAGGGCCTCACTCTGTCACCCAAGCTAGAGTTTAGTGGCGTCATCGTAGCTCACTGCAACCTCAAACTACTGGGCCCAAGTGATCCTCCTGCCTCAGTCTCCTAAGTGGCTTGAACTATAGAAGCATGCCATCATGTTCAGCTAATTTTTCTATTTTTCTGTAGAGATGGCGTCCTGCTCTTGCTCAAGCTAGTCTCTAACTCCTGGCCTCAAGTAAAACCTGACCTTGGCCTACCAAAGTGCTAGGATTACAGGCCTAAGCCACCATGCCTGCCCAACAGTCATATTTTTTAAAGACCAAACAAAATTAATTTCTCCCTTCTCCGATGTGAGAACATATAAGTGCCAATTCTATGCTCCCATTATTTCCCCCATTTGCATCAGATAAGGAAATTGGTGTATTTTTGCCTTGACAGGTTCCTGAAGAATTACATAAAAAGAAGACTAATCACCATTTATTTTGCTATCCATGCAATAGCAATTTTATGAAAATAAAATGTTTTTTAAACTTAACATCTCATTTAACAAAATAATACAGGAAGGTAGATATTATTTTATCCCCATTTTATTCATGTAAAACTTTAGTAGTCCACCCAAAAAGCTCATACCTCACAGTAGCAAACAAAGAGCTAAAAGTTAGGTCCTTTAACATAAATGTCCCTATGCCTCCCCTGAGCAAGCGACACGGGGTGTTCAGTTTACTTCCATTCACACAAACACTGGTATGGGGTCTTGAGCCCCAGACTCTAAACAGAAAAAACTACAAAGTGCACACACTTCCTTTGAAGCACTGGCTGATTACTTTCCATTCTTACTCTCTATTCTTTCTCAGATACATGCAGGTTCTCTTAATAAACCTTTTTTATACTAGGCATCAGGGGACTGCTGATGGGTAGGATAACCGATCAAAGATACAGATTTAAATTCATTATCGAAGTGATTGCAGCATAAACTAGGTTGGAAGTGATGCTGTTCGGTTAACGAAAAATGAAAATTTCAAAGATTATTGCTGGTTTCCTTGGATAGTCATGAATTTGGACAAAGTTTCAAATCACTCCCACTTTAGAAAAAGCAAAAATATTGGTGATGGAGAAAAATGAATACACGTGTGTAATAGAATAATAATCAATAACATATTTCAAATTTCCTCTGTTAAAAAATTAAACTCTTAAAATTACCACAATATACTGCCTTATTTATATACATTTCTTTCTGAAAATAAAAAAAGCTAACTGTAAATTCATGGGTTTTAGCATTTGAGATGTAGTCTGGACCTGGTGAACATAAATTACTATTCTAATATAAAAGTACAACCCTACTTAGTTTTTATCTTTATTTATATTTATTATTTTTAATTAACTTATTATATTTATTCTTTTTATATAGGTACAATTTAAATACCATAAAATTGATTCATTTTTAAGTATACAATTCAGTATTTTAGACTATTTAAAGAGTTGTACAACCATCACAATCTAATTTTTGCACATTTAAATTATCCTCCCCATTCCCCAAAAAAGCAAAAACATCCCGAAAACAAAAAAATCCCCCCTAAAAGCACCAAACCTACTTTGTTCTTAACCAGAAGAAAAACATCCAAAGCCATTTAACTAATTGCCGTGAAATATTTAACTAAAGAATTTACAGAAATTTGATGACCTATTTAGCCAGTATAGCATTAACTTGAAAAATTAAAGAACAGACATTTAAAGAATAAGAAAAGAGATCCTCAAAGTGACCAATTTGTCAAAGTCTATTTGGGGTATCAGTTCAGCATCTCTTGATCATATTCAAAAATAAATAAAAATTTCACTTCTTGATATCAGCAGAAATAAAACACAAAGTTATTCTAGTTTAGTAGACCTAAGAGTTTCTTTTAATGCTTCCAAAAGATAGCTCTCATGTAAAAATCATAAACCTAAAGTGCTGCAAATCCACTTGCTGTAAAATTATGATGAAAAATTTCAATATAAAGCAACACAAATGAAACTAATGACAATGGCATTTTAAAAAAGAATGATTAATAGTTAATGTAAATATTGTTAACAAAATGAGTAAGTCCAAATATCAGTTAAATCAGTTATTTTGTCTAATTTTTAAAGATTTACATTTCTATGTTTTACCTTCAGATACCTGCTCTTAAATGGGAGATCTAATTTGAAATAGCCTTTTCAATAAACATCGAAATGAAACCTTTAGAATAAGAACCCACTAATCTGTTCAAAATGGTAAGCA